GGCGACGAATTCTCGTACGTTCCATTCGCATATACGTGTCCTCTTCTCGTTATACGGGAAGGGGCGTGGCGGGGATGCGAGAGGCCGGCGCCCAGTCGGCTTGGGACAATCGGTCCACATGGCAATAGCGAAATCCTATTTAGCATGCATCCTACATGTCAATCACAACGATCCTACGATCTAGTCGGAGACAAGTCCACCAAGCAATCGTCTCATCATCCAAACATTCTCATTCATTTCTCACAGACATTCATCAAAGAAGGTGCGAAAATGGCAGTCACACATCACTCAGTTCTCCGTGTGCTCTGCAACCCTGCCCCGTTATCCCCGTGACTAATTAAGCGTTAGCCAAAACAACCATCTCATTCCTCGTGTGCAATAGATCGACAACCATCCATAATCGTTTGTGTCATAGAGGGAGAGAGAGGAGGTAGGGAGGAAAAAACGTGGAGCAGACAAGATAGATGAAAATTACACCAAGATCCGATGATGAAAAAAAGTTTCGGACTTAAATGCCGTCCAACTGAACTCACACCAAAGAATAGACTCGAGACAAGGAGGCGCATCCACCGTGAAGTTCAACTATGGCCCCGGGCCATTCATCCATTCAACTTTGATCACTATCCCCGTGTATGCACTGACGATCCCGGTCGTCACGTGCCACTTTCCACCACTGCGATCGTCACCCCATCGACTTAGTCTTTGCACGGCTTGCCTGGATCCCACAATCCCTCGTGGCGATCAGGCGCACTGCCGACCAGACTACAGTCAGCCCGTCAGGACTTTTCGACTCGCACTCCACACGTACCATCTAGCCACCGCTTCTCGGAAGCGGGCATACGAGTTGAGAAAGAGATTTGCGAGCGCGCTTGCGGAATTTATAGTTGTGGGAAGGGAGGTAGATACGAGGGAGGATGAAGATTGGGGCAGGGAAGGGTGAGGGAGGACTTGGGGATAATCGCTCGGCGAAAGCCATGTTGATCCTTCTGAGTCGATCGTAGCCAATCAGAGTCGTCGCGTAATAGGAGCTTCCCCTTACACGACGCTTCTTCTTGGCTAATCGGGGTGAAGAGAGGACCGACCGGGTTCTTGGGCGTAGGACTTAGAGTGGGAGGAAGAAGAGTGCACAGGATAGCACGAAACGGATCCAAGATTCAGATGATCAAGAAAGAGAAAAGGCGCGCGGGGCGAGAGAAAGAGAGAGGGAAAAACGGTTACAGAGGGAGAGTGAGCGCGGGCGCGAAAGGAGCGTCGAAGATGGCGAGGGGAGCAGATCCCCCGGGCCTTAGACTTCAACATTCTCATATTAGCTCCCCATAATCTGAAGAGCCAACTCCTAGCATTTCTCTTGTGGATTGCCCTATCGGCCTTCTTCTAGTCTGCCCAGATGAGGGCTCTGACATTGGCTAGAATAAGGTTCATGACCGCTAAATCTGAGTGGAAGTTTTTCCTGAAACCACCAGTACTTCCTAGAGTCGTGTCCGTTAAAGCACCACAATTTTAGGAAACGTACGGGCTACTACAGGAGGGCACAAATCCATCCAACTAGAAACATTTCTACTCTATTTTCCCCGCGGTGTTGTGATGCCCAACCTCACGCCCGGTGTGACGCCCAAACCTCACGCCTAGCGGGACTTCCTGATCGGAGTAGGATGGGTGTGACGCACCAGCTTCTGAGCCTGCGCCATCTTATTCTCTCTCTTTTTTCTTTTCGAATTTTGCTCAGGCCAACAAGGCCCTTCTCTGTTTTCTTTTTGATTAGAGGTGCCTTGCTGAGACCCGTGTTTTCAGTCTTATTGATTCTTGAAATTCCGTTTTCATAATTTAGGAAATGCATGGGAATTACGCGCGCTTTAGCGAGCACGCTAGGAATTTGGCTCGGCAGTTAGAAATTCCGAAATAAACGGAACCCGACGTGTCCTTTTTCTGCGTGAATGTTCTCGATGTCGCGGAAGACTCTGGGAATTTGGTGGGAATACGAATGGACGTAGGACTGTCTTTTTCCCGCGCCTACTTTACAGGCGGATATGGTGATTTCAATTTTTTTGAATTAGCATAGGACTTGGGAATCTGTAACTGTTTTGGTGCCTTTTTTTGCATTTGTGATTGGCGCCATGCAAGCGAGTTGTTGGGACAGCGCCCACTGTAAGGACCAGGGAGGGGGGACCAGAGAAGGGGGGGAGGGCGTTACCGTTCTCCGGGCTTCAGTGCTTTGATAAGACATGAGCTATTTCAGAAAGGCATTCAAAGCAGAGGCTATTGGCGGACCATAGAGAGATGGAGCTAGCTGGCCGAAAGTTCTCTATCTGGCGCCCTCGGTTGAAGATGTTCCTGAAGCTCGTGCAAGCCGTTAAACCAGGTGCCCCTGGCGTTACATGAACATTCTTTACGTATGGGACGTTGGACCCGTTTTCCAGCAGGTGCAGGCTGTGCAGCTTCCCACCGATAGAATGAAGCCATCAGAACAAACGATGCTGTTTTTCTCTTCCTGTGGGTTTATTTGAGATTATTTAATTATTTAGTCATGCTGGACAAAATGATCGGACCTGCACGCTCTCTTGCAATTAGCAGTTTCAAGTTTGTACACTGGACACTGCGAGGGAGGTTCTCAGATGGATGGGAATCCTTTTTCTTTTTTTGTTTCTCTTTCTTGCCATTTTTTGCAGTGTATAGGTAGAAGGTTCATCTGCATTTTCTTTTTTGTCTGGCTAGTGCCTCCAGCCATTGTGTGGCCAATGCATGAGCCAAGTTACCCAGTACATCCAGCGGCCTAGCTCAGTTGGTAAGGCACGCAAGCAGCATTCAGGAGGTCGTGGGTTCAATCCCCACTGGCCTCATGTCCCTTCCTGGAGGTCTTGGGTTCAATCCCCATTGGCCTCATGTCCCTTCCTGGGCATGCTTGGCGCCCGCCACCTAGAGATAGCACGTTGGTCCCCCCAATTGGCATTAAAAAGCAGTCTCTGCTGATGTTACTAGGGGGAGGGGTAATCGGGGAGGCACAGCCACTGGCCACTCAGATGATGCTCGGTCCCTCTGCCACCGGCCGTCCCCTGGCCGGTGTCCCCGTTGGGGGTTCCCTGAAGGCAATCAAGGCCACCCGATGTCAGATTAGAGACAATATTGAATTTACCTGGGCTGGTTAGTCCTATGATAATACCTCAAGGAATCCAGCGGCCTAGCTCAGTTGGTTAGGCATGCAAGTGGCATTCAGGAGGTTGGGGGTTCAAGCCCCATGGCCGCCTGCGGCGCACTTAGTGCCAACGGACTGTGATAGTCCTCTGGATACCCCTGATTGGTATTAGCGGGGTCTATGACCAACACGGGTGTGAGTGTGAGCCCGAGTGGGTTATGTGTGGTGTGTGGGAGAGTGTTGGCCATAGCCTCTGCTGCTACTCGATGAAGGGTGGGGGACTATGAGAAAGGGAGGCACAGCTACTGGCAGGTCTCGGTCTTTGTGTTAGCACGACCCCCACTGGCGGCCTCAACCCTATACCCTAACCATTAGGGGCAAGGGGCAACATGAAATCTCCCCTTCACAGAGAGAGGAAAACTATGCCTGCAGGGGTCCCCTCTAGATAGTCTTAGGAGTAGGTAATGGAAGGTTAGGAAACAGAAGTTGAGAGAAGATAATACCTCAAGGCCATCGCCCTTTTTTAAAAAGGAAGTTACCCAGTACCATTGGGTTAATGATGACACCTGGCACGTCATCGTAGCATTCGAATCGAACTCAAGACCTTTTCGTCAACAGTATACTGTGTCAAGCATTCAGGCCCATGGCTCGGTGGCGACCGGTACTGGAAGTTTTTTCAGGGCAAAGAGGTCTACAAATACGTTCCAGAGGCAAAGAGACAGGGCCGGCCGACATTTTGGCCTGAGAGGAGGAAGTACCACATGACCCGGCGTGAAGGCGTCCGTTTCAGAAAATCGATGTTCCCGTGCCAGCCACGTGGCTAATGGCCAATGACAAGGCTTGCGAATTCAAGGGCTCTCCGATTTCTGCAAGACGTTACGCCCTGGCATTGTTCAGTTCTTTTTTTTTTTTTTTTAACAAAAGACGACTCTGTTCATTTCAACAAAAAAGGAGACCGGGAAAACCTCCACAAACAACCCGGAGCAAAAGAAAGGACTGGGACCATTACCCAGCTTAGGTGCAGGCGATTGCATTGTTCAGTTCCGTTGAACAGGGCTTCTTCTTCTTCTTCTTCTTTTTTTCTTTTTTTTCTTTTTTATGAAGCGCTACGATCTTGAGATATTATCGTCTTCCATGCAACTGGCAGGCCCTAGATTTGTTTTTATTTTTATTTTATAATTATTATTATTATTATGGTCCGATGGACCACGGATCAGAAACTAAACTGATCAGAACAGATACGACACTTGATCTTACTTAGCCAAAAGCCCGAGAAAGGTATGGCCCTAGATAATTGACTTAGGAATGCAGTATTCCGCTCATCTGCTTCCAAATCGTCGGAGTTCGAAAACAGGTCAGCGTTCCAACAGTGCAGCCGTAAACCAACAGCTAGGGCGTGGTGCCTACTGTAGGACCTCGGCTGGTAAATAAAAGAAAAAAGACCAAAAACAAACGGGAACAAAAGATTGTTTTTCTGTTTTTGTTTTTTTTGTTTTGGGAGGAAAAGAGAGTGCCCCCCCAACCACCCCCCCCCTTCTCTTTCTTTTTTTTTGGTGGTGGTGAGTGGGGGGAAGAAGATAGTGTTTCCTTGTTGAAAACAACTTTCAGGAAGCAAAAAAAGAAAGAAAAAAAAAAAAAATCCAGGAAGCGGGCCCGGAGTCCCTCACATGAGTACTGCAGTCAAATGGGGCTGAGAGAGGTGCTCCCGACCAGTCCCATCCCCAACCACAGCAATCCAATAGCAGAGACGCAATCGATTGCTCAACTAGGGTAGTAGAGCCGAAGGCAATTTTTTTTCCCTTGTCGCAGAAGAGGAAGGGATGGCACGGTATGAAGGACGGCGCCGGTTGTATAAAGAGAGGGCCGTATTCCACGTCCTTGCATCCTTGTGTTCCGCTTCTCAATTTCCTCGCGATCTGTTGGACTTGACAGCTTTCTCTCACCTCCCTTGCCATCGTTCTTCTAATAACTGTGCGGGCAAGCAGAGATAAGACGGGTTGAGTGTGCTGGCTGGTGTTGCTGCGGCAGTGCGGGTAAGGTACGGAGTGCCAACGACTGATAGCAGCGAGGAATACCGCGGCCGCTATGGCGGGTGAACATGTTCGTCGAGGTGGGCGACAAGGAAGCGCTACTGAATGCTGTGCTAAGGTTGTCGCACAGTTGGCGATCATCGCGGTGTTAGTGCTATTAACCTCAGTGCCTGCGGCTTGTGGCTACGGCGTGACGGAGTTCATGAGAGACTACAACAACCCGAGTGTGTCACGCATCCAGGTGAAGGGCGACGTTATCCTCACGTCCGACCTGCCGCCCCTGGATCGCAACCTGACGATCGTGGGCGTGGGACGCAAACGTCCCGTGATCGACGGTCAGAACAAGTACAGCGGAATCGATACCAGCGACGTGCTGGTGGTGAGGAACGTGGAGTTCAGGAACTTCGTCACCCGCAGGTGGCGTGGCGGCGCTGCAATCCTGTCGTCTGGGGACAACAACAAGTTTGAGAGCTGTGTGTTTCGAAACAACAGGGCGATGTTGAACAACAGCGATAGCGACTCCGACTACGGGAACGGCGGCGCAATCTACTTCTATAGCAACACCTGGAGAATTACAAAGTGTCAGTTCTTAGGCAACCGGGCAGATTGGTACGGAGGCGCCGTGTACACGCTGGGTGAGAGCAGCGGCACGGTCTCTGGCAGCGTGTTCAAGGACAACTACTCCAAGGCTAGAGGCGGCGCCATCACCTTCCGGGGCTCGTTCGCGCGGATCGACAAATGTACCTTCGAAGGCAACAAGGAGGATGGGGAAGGCGGCGGAGCTCTGTCCTGCTCCAGATCGGGTTGCCACATCTCGAATAACGCCTTCCGGAACAACGTGGCCAAGGGAGACGGCGGCGCAATCCGTTTCTTTGCTGATGACGAGGGAGGGTTCGGGGTTCTGTGCAAAGGAAACACCTTCTCTGGCAACCGGGCGACGAACAGCTCGAGCAGCAACCTGTTCGTCTCGGCGACAGAGGACGCTGGATTGTCTTGGAGTTTCTGCGCCAAGGCACCGCCCCAGACGGTCATCGATGCACCCAAGAACGCAACCCAGAGCGGCAATTGTCGCGGATGCCCAAAGTGAGACACGAACCGCTATTATTCCGGCCCGCGCCAAACTCTGCGCAACTGAAACCTGGGGATTCTTGGGACTCACTCACTCGCTCGTTTGTCGCTGCAGTACTGAGTGCCAGTGAGTGGGTGTGTGTTTAGCTCGTTAATAAACAGTAGTCGTAATATTGATTGGCATGATGCCGCTGGATTTCCAAATGGCATTTGGGCTTCCCCGCTCTTTACTTTCGAGTGCGGGAGCGCCTATCCGGTCTCCCGCTCGAGTGGAAGGTATAAGTTTTGCATTGAGCCGGTGAATGACCTATATCACCTCGGATCGGCGTAATGTGGCGGGTTGAATGCATGTTTTTTTTTAGTATGTCGAGTAGGTAGGAGAAGGACTCGAGAGAATATCCAGTTACCTGTCACGACGTGCGCTGGGAGAGAAGGAACTAGCAAACGTTGCTCTCTCTCTCTCTCTCTCTCTCTCTCTCTCTCTCTCTCTCTCTCTCTCTCTCTCTCTCTCTCTCTCTCTCTCTCTCTTTTCCCGTATGTACGACTCGCCGACGCTCCGACATGGCGATATTCTTCTGTGCCAAATCTTTGCGCCGTCAAGTCGAATGACGGTCTTCGTCCTGCCTTGCTTTGGAAATCGAATCCTAGCTCAGCGATTCCCATGTATATACTCATTCTTGTGGCTTCGTGGCATTGGTGGAACGACGATCATATGATGATCTTCCGGTCTGTATTCAACGCTTTCGTTTTCGGCTCGCTTCCGTGTGAAACGCATCGCAGCAAGTCGTTCTAGAGACTAGAACCGCCGCCCAAGTTTGTGCGCGTGATTTTGATGAACACCAGTGACATCATGCTGAGTTTCATCGTATAAAGCTGGATGAATTATTCGATTGAAAATAAAATAAAATCTCAGATTTGTCGTGTAAGGGCTAATCCTGACCTACGGCGATTTGGACATCGCATCCATATTCCCCTTCTCCTCATCCCTTCTCAGCCTCCTTCCCTTCTCCTTCTCACATGCTACTCGTAAGCTTCTCCATCGCTCCTCCGTCTCCTCCATGCAACCGCCCTGGGCCTCCTCTTTTCCTGTTTTCTCTATGCGCACACTCCAGTCATCCTCACGACTGTTCGATATTCCCTCGATCATCGTTCTTTCATTTCCCGATGTCCCTCGTTCCGCCTGCCCTATTTTGGCGCCCTCGGTTGTCCTATGAAAGCCGCAGTGTGCGTGTCTGTCTCAGCAGGGATGGGGCAGTGCACAGTGTCTCCCCTTCCACTCTGTCCCGTACAGTGTATGCTTGTGGCATTGTGGCTCGGAGCAGACGTCTTTGCGACCTGTAGCTGTTTGGCTTTCCAGGTCGGAGTCATGCTCAATTGACGTCAATCTACATTCGCGAGCGCGCGCGCGCGCGAGAGAGAGAGAGAGAGAGTGGTGCGGTCGGAAGAAAAGGGTGCAGGATTTCGCTCACTTGGCGCGCGCACGCATGAGGGCGACGACCTTGAGATGACCGGCCCCAAGCAATTCATTAGTAGTTGGTTTCACTCGTAAAGTTCCATCATAAGGATTCGAACACAGGTCTGTATTTCAACAGTTCATGGACGTACCCACTGAGCTAGGGTCTTGGGTCGTATGTCTTTTTTCCCCCCTCCTTACTCTTCTTTTAATTTGGACCTTTTCTCGATGGAACAATTTGCCCAATGCCCCTCCGACGGAGGACTTACCCAGTGACAACCCTCTGAAAACGATTGACGTTTCCAACAAACCCCTGGCGGCCTGAATTATGTTCAATATGCCCTTACGGGTTCGGTTCAAATTACGCACCGGTAGCTCCCCTCCCAGGGCCAGGGGAAAGGCCGCGAGTGCCACCGAAGACCACAGGGGCATGCTGGAAAGTTGCACCCCTCACTGAAAAGGGCTTCCAGGAAACTTGAAAGGGGCAGACCGCAAATAAATGTAAGTCGGAGGGGCATTTCGAAATTTTCCATTTCTCGACTTACACATCTCATCGTTCTCCACATACGGGCATCGCCTCACCACTCTCCAAATGTGCAAAATGAGAATGAACTTCCCGCTAGAAACAACATGGCCAGATGCACCCCCCACATTTTTGCACTTTTCACATTTCGAAAGTGGTGTGGCCATGCCCTAAGGGCCTCGCCGCACCACTGTCGAAAATGCAATTTTCGACAGTTTCTCTTCACCAAACAGGCTGTCGAAGTCGGAGACGGGAAAAAATTCTCCAGTTGTCAGAGCATGCTTTTCGACAGCTCCTGTCGAAAGTTGTTGAGTACCCAGCCTGCTACTCCCATACTTTCGACACTCCTCGGCTGCGGCGTCGACTTCTCTACGAAATTCGGTGACGGGGGGCAAGGTCGGAATGGACTAATGCTTGTCGTAAACTCTGGCGCGTTTGTCTTTTTCCATCTTGCATTCGCAAGTGCGTGCACTCTACAGTGCTGTGTGGCTAAAGGGGGGCAAACTGTCGAATGGAGGCTGTTGAATTTGTTCTCACAGCCGTCAATTTTTTTCGCCTTTCGACTGTGGTGCGGCGAGGCGCTAAGAGGCTCGCCACACAGGCTGTGGAATGTCGAAAATTTTCGACAGGTGTCAGAAAATTTTCGACCGTAGACAGTTTCGCCCCCCTTCACCACATAGCCTGTCGAGGGGCGAGGTTGTCGAAAGTTGCCAAGTAGACTCAGCCTTTCGACAGGTGCTGTGTGGCGAAGGCGGTGGCCTGTAGGGAGTTGTTACAGGGATGAAGTTGTGCGCCCAAGTGGACCAGATGTCGACGCCGTTTTTGACAGAAGCTGTTGACTACATACGGACAAACAGGCAACGGCTGTCAGGGAGCAGTCCCGGAGAGCGGAAAATCGGAGGCATTTTTCGAAAGGTGGGCGGGCCACTGTCGAATTTCCGTCACCTGCAGTCTGGAAGAAACGGTTGCTGGAGGGCCGCTGTAGTGCCATCCTGACACCTGTGGAAAGTTTCTTGAGCCGCAATTCTTTGAAAGTCTGTGTGGAGATGCAAAATTGTCGAAAACCGGCTTTTCAACACCCTGTGTGGCAAGCCTCTAAGGGCCTCGCCGCACCACCGTCGAAAATCGAGTTTTTGACATTTTAACGCCGCCACACAGGCTGTCGAAACGACGACTGTCAGAAATTGCTCGACACCTGTCAGAACTCGGTTTTCAACGGTGATGTGTTCACACTCGAAAAAGCCCGCCTGCGGTGGGCAAACATTCGATAGGACTTCGGTGGTCGTCGAAAACCCATCGGAATTTGGCGGCGCTCAGATTTGTCGTGGTTTGTTGCTGTGTGTGTTGTCTGCAAGCGCTTCGACATTGGCCGTCGAAAAGTGCCCTCTCCACAAGGACGTGTTGGGTCTCGCCCTCCCGTTTGCAGACCATCTGCGCATGTACCAAGCGGTGAATGGACCCAGGAACGGTACCCATCACTCCACACGGACAACCGCTGTCCCGCCTGGCACTCACTCGTCGGCGCCCGCCGTCGCCACACAGCACTGTCGAAGTGCAGTCAGAGATTTGACACCACACTGTTCGACGGTGTTGTGTGGCGAAAGCGGGTAACACTGTCGAATCGGCAACTATCGAACCGAGTCTGAGGAATTTCGAAAAAAGGACCGATTCGACGCTGGTGCGGCTTAGGGCCTCGCCGCACCACAGTCGAAAGGCGAAAAAATTTGACGGCTGTCAGAACAAATTTGACAGCCTTCATTCGACAGTTTGCCCCCTTTTAGCCACACAACACTGTAGAGTGCACGCACTTGTGAATGCAAGATGGAAAAGACAAGCGCGCCAGAGGGTACGACAAGCATTAGTCCATCCCGACCTTACCCCCCCTCACCGAATTTCGAAGAGAAGTCGACGGCGCAGCCAAGGAGTGTCGAAAGCATTAGAGTAGCAGGCTGGGGATTGAACAACTTTCGACAGGAGGTGTCGGGAAGCATGCTCTAACAACTGGCAATTTTTTTTCCCGTCTCCGACTTCGACAACCTGTGTGGCGAAGAGAAACTGTCGAAAATTGCATTTTCGACAGTGGTGCGGCGAGGCCCTAAGTCTTTAAGGTAGGCAAGTCCCCATCAGCGACTGCAACTGTACTGTTTCTGTGCTGCGGGGGGTGCAGTTGTTGTTCCCTGTATATGAACACTTCTATCCTTCGGCCTGTGGAATGATCAAATGACTAGTTTGGGAATGGGCCTCTGAAAGGCATGAATGAAGTGGAAAGGATACTATGTCATGGACACTCCTATCCTTCAGCCTGTAGAATGAAATGATCAAAAGACTCGTTTGGGAATGGGCCTTTGAAAGACATTAATGAAGTGGAAAGGATACTGGCAAGACATAATATCCTTCAGAGGCCCATTCCCAAACGAGTCCTTTGATCATTCCACAGGCGGAAGGATAGGAGTGTCCATATCAAGGGAACATCAACTGCCGCTGCCGCAGCACAGGAAAAGCACAGTTGCAGTCACTGATGCGGACTTGCTTACCTTCTTGAAGCGACTTGAATTCCCTGTCACCTGCGGATATGGGCCTCCCTCAGGTACTCCCCACAAAGTCATGCAGAAAAGACAAAATATATGTCGGTGGACCGCAGTGGAGTGAGCCATATGTCCCTGAGCAAGAGGCCTAGCTGAGTTGGTTAGACACGCAGCAACAAGTAAGTGGCATTCAGGACGCCCTGGGTTCAGTCCCAACTGCCACCTGCAGCACTCTTGCTGCCAACCAACTGAGATAGTTGACTTGCTCCCCCATTAGGCATTGGTAGGGTCTTTGGCAAACACGGGTGTGTGTGTGTGTGTGTCTGGGTTGTGTGTGGTGTGTGGGAGAGTGCTAGAGACTGCTGTTTTTGTTTTTCTCTTTTTTCTTTCTTTTTTTGGTTTGTTTTTCTCAGGACTCCAGCCGGGCGTCCCTTGCAAAAATTACGTGGTCCTGTTTGAGGGTGAGACATCATCGGTCAAGCCCAAAGACAGGACCACTTCACATAGCGAATGGCATGTCGTTATCGTGTTTTGTCCCCCTATCATCCGGACTTACCACTCACCCTTGCCTACCCGCTCTGCCACCCAGGGGTCTGTGCCCACAGGGCCACAGGCCCCAACTGCGGTCACTGCTATGTGACACCCGCGGTCTAGGCCGCGGGCATTTCGGCCGGGGCCGTGGCCGATGAGGCCCAGTCCGTGGCCCGTTTTTTTTATTTTATTTTTTTACCCCTAAAAATATGTAAAAAACAAATTAAAAAATATAGGGGTGTAGGGCTTGGAAAACCCTACAATCCTATGTTTTGTATTTCGGATATCTGACTTCGTGTAAGATTTAAAAAAAATGCAAAACGAAATTCGATTTAAACAAAACATTCAAAAAAAAAAAAAAAAAAAAAAGCAGGACTTTTTTTTTGGCATTTTTTTATCATGAGGGATATGGTCCCTGAATTGTGCTGTATTTTTTTTAAAAATGATTTTCGGTTTTTTGTTGGGAAATTAGGTGTTCAAAAAAAATGAAGATGCAAAAATTTAAAACAAATCAACAAAAAAAATGGGCCAGGCTGGGGTTGGTGTGTGTCTGTGTCCTCTTTTGTGTGTGTGTGTGTGTGTGTGTGTGTGTGTGTGTGTGTGTGTGTGTGTGTGTGAGAGAGAGAGAGAGAGAGAGAGA